ATCAATTCTCTAAAGATTAAAAAAAGTGAATTAAAATATATCAATTTTTGATAGAGTTACAATAACAAATATGGATGAGGTCCTCGAGACCCTAGTGTGTATAGCACGTAGGCAAAATATAAGTGTGTATACGGAGGGTTAAGTAATGTTATTTAAAAATATTATATATATGTTTAATAATATATAACATTATTAAACAAAACATGGAATATTATTTGCATATAAATATTAGAAGCTTGTAAAAGTTAATGGAATCGTTGATGATTTCATTGGCTTCAAAGATGACTCATTTTACAGATACAGAATTAAAGATGTTATCTTCTAAATAACAGAATGTAATGGTGGATATTTTAATTAGACATAGCGCATGTCTCTTCACAATTAATAAAAGATAATTGAGCTTAAAAAGCTAACAAATTTTTGTATGCGCCTTATTAGATTAGATTTAACAAATATTTAACGGTCAATGGCTACGCGATTGTGATTTTGTATAGCCTCGAATCGATTTCTATTAGTTATTAGGTTCGATCAATTTAAAGGTTCAAAAAATTTTTGTATAAAAGATTTATCATTTTTCTGTTGAATTCTCATAAGAAATTTGGATATTAAAAGAATAATAAAAAGGTCTAATTAGATTTCTAAAAGAATATCAACTTAATAATATATATTTTATTTATAAAAATTATTAATTCTTTGAAATTAGATAATTTTGTCTTCCATTTTATTTGACAAATATAACAAATCCTTTGCACCGACGTTATAATTACCGTTTTTAATATAAACTTATTCAGTCCCTAAAGAGAATCCGAATGAGAGTTGAAACATTCTCCCGTAATTCGAGAAAAATACAAAAGAACGTTACGCGAGAACATCCGCGTTCATCATTTGATCGAGGAATGGCTTCGAAAATTTACGCTTATTTTCAGACATTTCTAAAAGCGAGATTTTCTATTTCATCTATTTATTACCTCAACAGCCTTTCTACTCGTCGACTGATCTCGTCATTCCAACGATCAATGTCGGTTCTTTGTAGAGAGAACGTTTTTTAATGCGCGAAATGTATCGAGTGTCGTTTCTCTGCAGCCGGAAGTTAAATTTGCCGTAAATATTCACGACTCACAGCTGACTATAACAAATACACAACGATCAAATAATCGCGGCGAGGTTTTCGAAATAGGGATCCGATTTAATTGTAAATGCGAATAATCGCGGCCGGCGCTTTCCCCGCGCGAATGAAGTTTCGGTCGGCGTGGCTTTGCCGAGCAGCAGGCGTGGAAAATGCGCTTCAAAGCGCGGAACGAATGAGTTTCCCATTGGATATTACGAATTTCATAAACGCGCGACGTGTGTCCACCCGCGCGCCGCGTGTTTGCAGCGGACTGCTGCTGTCTTGCGCACATAGGCGCGTTACGGCGAGAGAAAAGCGGCCGCAGCAACCGTAAATCTGTAATTTTAGCACGAACGACTGACGCGCAACGGACACACACATACACACGTGGGGATCACGGGTCGACTGTATTAGCATAAACCGCACTAGCAAATAGTAAATCAACTGCAAACGAGATTACGGCTGTGGATCGTCATGAAAGATAATTCGCTCAACTAGAGCTGCGTGATTTGGCGTTGCAAGGAAGCTTTGTGCTCATGTAAAACTAATTAGTAGTGCAAAGTTGGATTTTGCAATTTAATTATTAAAAATTTTGTATGAATTTAATAATAGGTATATGTAGTGTTGTTTAATTTTTTTCTAAGAAACAATGGAACAAATGTGTGTGTGTTGTGTGTGTGTATTACACTCTAAAAAAAAGTATATTTATTAACAGTTTTTAAGACTTTTTTTGTACCAACAATAGTTTTTGTGTGAAGAATAATAAAAGATAAGAAGATAGAATCAAGTTCTGAAATATTAGTTCTCCGAGACAAGATTATTGCGATTTTGAATAGTTTGTTCTTTTTAGATGAACTGGTTACTATAAAAATAATAATTTAATCTTAAAAACAATAATGTTTTATTTTAAAATCAGTTACGTATTTTATTTTAATATTATAAAAATGTAACGAAAAAATGACGAACTTTATTTTCTTAGTAATGATAACAGTAACGAGTTACTTTTTAAAATTAGTAACAAGTAACGGTAACGAGTTACTTTTTTTTAAGTAACGTTCCCAGCTCTAGTCAAACCGATTCTGATTTCCAATTTTTAATATTGATATTAATATTAAAGACACAATATAAAAGCCAAACGCTGATATTGGAGCGAGTATTTTACTGTTGAAAGAATAATTATTCGCAATTTTAAAATGAACTCAAATAACGTGTAACATCATAAAATAGTGGAGACTGGGACTAGATGCCCTATATTTTCGAAGTTAAAATTCCTCAGGTAACTGATTGTTGTGATTGACTGTATGCATAACATGACAGAGGCAATCTTCTTCTCTGTATTAATATATTACATCCCTTTTATATTTTATTTTCTAATAACCAAGATACAAACATGCAGCGACATAGTCATCTTTCTCTGGTACCGGATTCAATTACCCAGTAGCGCAGAATAAGAAGGTCACATTATAAAATATGTATCCTAATTAGTAGTTCTAGAATCTCTGCGAGAGATCTTCACAGCCTTCCTGTCGGCTCTTAATTATGGGCCAACTTTATCTTGTTCGCTCTTATATTTTCTTTCAATTACTTTATGAATAAAAATGGCAACTAGTAGGAACAGTTCATACACTTCATATCATACACTTACAAGAAATTTTATTCTAGCTAGTAACACATTGCTTAATTTTATTCAGTTGTGATAAAGAATATTAGCAGAAAATTTCGAGAGGCTTGAACATTTGTTTTGCTATTATAAAATTTGTTCTGTATCTTAACTGTAATATTGTTCCGATTTTAATAAAACTCAGGGTGAGGGAAAAGTGTTTATATTTTAAAAGGGTCATTTCACGATTTTGTACCCTATTCCTCTCAAGATAAATACTAAAAAAGAACACATGAGCAACATATCCTTGGAACTACTCCGATCTCCCTAATAAGAGACGAGAGAGAGCTAAGTTAATTAATATTAATATTAAAAATTAAGAGTCAAGATCGTTTTAACGTAGAAGTTTAATTCACTGCGTACGTTTTAAAAAAACTTTAAAAATTATTTAGCGCGCGTCTATTAAAACACTGTCAAATATATTATTATTTCAACAGTAAAAATACTTGCGTTTGGTACTTATTTGCCTTGAATATTCTTAATTTTGTTATATACCTTGCGCGAAAACCTATTTATATAGTATAGAAACTATCTAATTTCGAAAGATTAATGATTTTTACGAACAAAATGCACAATACCGAGTTTTTAAACATTTCCTTTTTTTTAAACATCTAATGAAGACTTCTTATTTTCTTTTTAAAGTGAATAACGATATTTTTAGAATGGATTCTAAAAATATCGATAATGTAAAAACAATTATCAAAATATCATATTAAATAAACGTTAATATAATCACGCCACTCTTTTCGTATTTCTCGTATCTATAAACTTTATATAAATATATGCTGCTTTATTTTATCATGCTTAGCAGATATTTTATATATTGTACTGAAAAATATCAAAATAAAATGAGAAATATCTCAGAAAATGTCCGAAAATGAAACGGAGCAAATACATCCTGTATATACAAGATGCAAAACTCTCCCATTAGATAAATTTTGGGTTAATTCATAAATTTGTACGAATTTTTGTCTAGTTGGCACTCGTCATATTACTATTAGGGGAATACGAGTAGAGTAATTCTATACAATTGGCCATCTATGTATATGCTTTGATAGTTGACATCTCAGAGCATTTTTTGTGATCTAAATGATAGTGTTTAAAGAAATAGAATTTTTGTCGCGGATTGAAAATGAAAGGCAGCAATGAGTTTTTCCGGTACATTATATGCTTCTTTACTTTCATAAAAATTGTTAAAAGTTTGGAAATTGTTAGAAGGCTGGGATGTTCCGCCTCATCCATTATATTCACCCGATATTGTCCCCCCGATAATCATCTGTTTTGCTCATTATAATACTCCCTTGACAGTATAAACTTCGCTTCCTTATAAGATGTGAAGAATCACTTGGAACGTTTCTTCGCCGGAAAAGCACAAAAGTTTTATAAGAGGCGAGTTATGAAATTACGTGAAAGATGGCAAAAGATCGTTTGAACAAAATGGCGCATATAATATTATTCATTATTTTTAACAAGAATAAAATTAATTTCAATTTTGTTTAAAAATCCGTACAAACTTATGGATTAACTCAATATTTACACTAACTTACAGCTCGAGGTGTGACATTTTTAAATTTTGTATCGTTTTCTTGACATATCAAACAATATTGTAATTTATTTGTGCACGAACTTTTATTCTGTAAAAACATTTGTTATTCTGTGTAACTAATATGACGTAAACTTTGCAGAGAAGAGTCAGTATTTTGATAGTAAAGTTTTTAAAAAGAAAATGTGACGCTCCTTTAATCTCTCTAAAATTTCTACGGAAATTTAATAGAGAAATTACAAATCCTTCGCACCAAAACTAATATACGAAAATAAAAATGTGTGGAAATTATTTCAAGACACTTCTCATACAACGTCTAAAATCGGGATATAAGACGTCTAAAAAACGTTTTAAAGACGTATCTTAGATGACGGAATATATAAGTCTCTAAGATGTCTTTAAGATGTCTTTAAGACATCTTATATCTTGATTTTAAACGTTGTGTTATGTGGGTTAGAAAATTAAAGTAAGAGTAGATTAAATGTAAAGAAATATTCTATATATATACACACACATGTACGTTTGACACAAGAATGCAATATAAAAACGACGTGGTTGCGCGACACGTAGCTACGTTGAACGATAAAAACGCAGTTACGTGAAGAGAAAAGGAGAGAAAATGATGAATATAAAAACCCGGAGCCGAGACCGATCGTGTTTCACGGACAACGATATCTTTTGATTTACAGGTGACGAATTTCAGTATCGAACATCTGGCCGCTCGTCCTGAGGGACACATAGACCAGAAGTAAGGATGGCCTTTCACTGGGATAAGCTTTCGCCAGCTGAATTCCAACAACTTCAGGACTTGGCAGCTTGTAAGTAACAAAAGGAAGAAAAGGCACGGCAAACACGGCGAAACGTGTAAAATAGCGCGACGGGTCGAGTAAGTCGCGATGGAGTAAAAGAGAAAGAGAATGCTCATGGAGAGTCGCTTCTGAATTTTTTACAGGCTATAAATCCTAAAACAACTCACGTTGCTAACAAAGTTTAACGAACCTCCGTTGACTAATCTATCACCGGACGGAATTTAAAACCCGCGCGCTTTATTCTCGCGTCGAGCGTTGTTATTAATTTCGCGAGCGCTTCGAAGAAAATTAAGCTGCGGGACGAGAGAAGAGGAGAGGAGAGAAGAGAAGAGCGGTTGATACGCAGGGAACCAACTGCTCGCTACATTTTCCTCATGTTCCGTTGCAAAACACGTTCCGAAAATTCGTATAGAATACGGCGCGGGATTTCTCGCGAAACACATGCTGCAATTTTTTCTCTTTTATCTTTTCATTTCGTTTACTTTCTCCCAGCGCGTCATTACGTTGCGTTTACGAGATTCCCGCTGATTTTGCGAGATATGTTCCTATGCTTAATGAGCTGTCCGCACGAGCTAATTAAGCGAGCATTAAGGGGATGCTGGAGTTGATGACGAACTCGAACAATGTTGATAATGCAGAGACGATTATCACTAACATAATCACACTATCCTTTTCGTATTTCTTGTATATACAGAACTTACATGAATGTACTTACATGAACTTACATGTGTGTTGCTTTGTTTTACCATATTCAACGGAAAACTTAACCATATATGTGTAGAAATCTTTCTGCCAACTTTTTCGATATTTTTAAGCAAATGCAAATGCAAACGCAAAGGTAGAGCAATACTCTTCCAAATTTTTTTGTTTGGAGCATCCACACTTTCAATATATACAAGCTGCGGAATTTTTGGATTAGACAAATATTATGCTAATTGCTTTAGATTTTACATTAAAAATTTTTTGTTCGTTTTCGTCACATATCGAGCAATGCTCCTATTTATTTTTGCACGTACTTTTATTACGTAAAAGCATTTGTAATTCTGTGTAACCAATTCGACGTAAATTTTGAAAAAAAATGTCAGTATTCTGTCGGTAAAGTTTTCATCTTCAGCATCCCCTTAAGCGCGCGAGTGTATCGAATCGCGCGCGAAAGTTTCGCGTTCCGTCCGATTTTGTATCACGTCGTATCACAATAGCTGGACAAATCCCTCACTGTGTACGCGGATTCATCAGCGTATCTCGTACACACGCGAACACACGAATTTCCCGTGACAACCATTGCGTTCTTTCGAAATTCCATCACGTCAAAAACAACGCGACGCGCCATCCGGCGACCATTGTCGCGCGAATCGTATTACCGTAACGTACAACCGGTATAACGGTATTATGCGTCGTCGCGTCAAGGTGTAAAGCATCGCGCGGGAAAGTTTTCGCGCTCATGCGAAAGCTCTCTTTTTATATTCACAAGGTGCACGTGCGCGTAACACACGTGTAACAACACGTGTTATTTTTTCAAGGCTGCGTTCTTTTAACTCACGTTGACCGTCGCGTGGATGTCCGCTGATTGTGCAAGAACTCAACTGACGAACGAATTGCCAAAAATATCTTGAATCAATGTAATTCCGTAGGCGTGTATCTATTTCACCTCTATTGGCCGAATCGAATTTGGGTCGTATCAATAATAGATTTTACAAGTGCAATTGATTGTACTTTACGCCACACATACCTCGAATAACTCGCTGGCCGCGACATTATTTTTACACTACATCCAATATTCCATTGATGCATATATACAATAAATATGTGTATATGCTTGAAAGAAATAAAATTTTCTGATTTTTTGTTTTTAACTTTATCATAAATAAATGATTACAGTTTTTTGTTTAAAATCAAGTAATATAAGATAGATTTATTCAATTCTAGGATCAAAATCTCGTCGGGCATACACAGTAATAAAAATACAAAATACAAGGGCTGTGAAAGCAAAGGATAATAAGAGCCGATTGTAGATTTAATCTGTGTATTTATGATACAGGATAAATCAGATTTCAGCAAAGGACACATCGACTATGTGCTTTGTTTATATTTCATTAAGAAAAGAACGGTGGAAACAGTGGAAATCGTAAAATATATCTTTTAGAATACAAATATTTTTCCTGAATTGCATTAAAATCGAAATAATATTACAGTCATAAAAGTAGAAAAAAAACTGATTTAAGAACTGCTGGATACATTTTCGAACGTTTCAAAATTTGGTATTAATATTCTTCATTGCACAAAAAAAAATTAGTGTCTACTTAAAACTAATATATTCAAATTAACAATCATTGTTTCATATATAAGTGACGATATATTAATATAATTTTGTTAGAAGAATTTTAAGGTCCTGATATACAACAATATTATAATTTTATTTGTACAATATAATAGTCTCGTAAGAAGTACAATATGATTATTTTGATGATGATATCTTCTTCTGACATTTAAAACCATCATATTCTCAACTCAATATATAGTGTGCTCAATATATATATAGTGTGCTTTCCATTAATGAAAATTCTAAATAATATGAAGATTTTTCTTTGTTAATACATTCATATAAAATATATTTTTGCAAGTAAATTATCTTAGTTTAACGTTATGTAATCATATTTTGAAGATTACTATATAAAAAATAAAGATAGTTTCCAGACAAAAATGTTTTTCTGTGTGCAGATTGTTTTTCTGTGAATAAATAAACTTAATGTAGTGACGTATTACTAGTTAGAATGAAGTCTCTCGCTTTCGAGTGTATGATATATTATTTCATACTGTTTCAAGTAACAATAAAATTGCAACAATTATCATTCATAAAATGATTGAAATTGAGTATATGGGCGTGAGCAAAGACGAGGTAAAATTGGTCACTATTTAACCTTTTAAATCATAATGTATCATATATGATATACCTTTTTTAGAGTAGTTTTTACGAATTTAAACTAATTTGTAGAGACTTTGAGGCGGTAAATATGGATTTATTGTGAAGCTTAGAGGTTCCTCGAACAAAATCATCCGCATAGAATATTAAATTTTTCAAATTCTACAAATTTAATTATTCATAAAGAAATTAAAAAATGGTATTTTTTTTAATTCACTTACCAAAAATATTGCAAAATGAACCTATAGAAAAAATGGCTTGGTTGATGCTTTTTAAGCTGTAGATGATGATACAATTTTAAAAATTTCAAAATTTAAGATGACGAACTCAATATGGCGAGCTAAAATACTAACAATCGAGATAAGTTATATTTCTTTCCATAAATGAGTGAAGTGAGTCTGTGAATAGCTTGAACTTCAAAAAAGTGATTTCGAAATGTTGGTGATTAGCGACGTCAAAAACCTTCGGATACCAATTTTCACGGAAATCGAGAGAGTTTTAAAATTATTGTCCGCCATATTGGATTCGCTATCTTGAATTTTCAAAAACTGACTTCAAATTTGTAATTAGCGACCCCAAAAACCCCCAAAAGATATCGATTGAACAAAGGAAAATTGTGCAAAAAAAATCGTGACTTAAAAGGTTAAGAGCTATATAAAGTCGATAAGGCTGTAAAGACCCCTCGTAAAGATTCCTGAACTATTAATCAGGATACATGTTCATATATATAACTTTTTTACCTTCCTCCTTCCTCCCTTTCCCCATTTGTTAACCAATTTGATCTAGGATAAGACAAGCTGGTCATGTTGCAACATGTTCATATTTCAATTCATATTTCTTTATTACAGAAAAACATATACAATTTACAAGATCGTGATAGACATAAAAACATAGAAGAAGGTTGTCTCTATCATGGTTGTCTCTATCATGTAGTCGAAGCCACAACAATTAGTTGTTTCAAAAGTCGTAATTTCGAAATCCTGGAAAACGTGTTGTCTGGTCCGGTTTCTTCCACTTTTGTCAAGTTTTATTTTATGTGTGACTTAAAGAAAATTGTATTTCATTGCTCACAAAACGACCTGAACTGACCGGGTCTGTTTTATGCGTAATTTAATGAGATATGGTGGTACATCATCACAGTTGATGGCCAATCATCGGTATCTGTCGCGGTGTCAACGTGTTAATTTTGCCGATAAAAAATTCATAATCTCATTACGTACGATCATTACGTTTATCATTAAGTACGATAATTTTTATTTGATTCTCGGAATGAACACGTAGCGGATTAAACATGTATACGTGAGTGCACTCGGGCAAATCGCCACACCATTATACCTGTAACGACCAATGAACTACTCGAGCGCGGTAAAAAGTCCTCCTGGCGCTTCTCCGGCCAGTAGAAACTAACATTTTGCGTAATTACACGGTTTCGCTCGCAGATGAGTTGAAGCGGTACGTTTCTTACGATGGATGAATCCTTAACCTTGATCGTCCATAGTTGTCATGGTATCCGCATATCCTCGCTGAGATAAGCGGCAGTTAAGTTCCATTAGATTTCTAAGCATCTCTAATTATGTGTGATACTCAATTAAATCTTACCGGAATGAAACGAAGATAAAGAGCCTCGTTTTCGCGTCTTGATTACTATTATTATCATTCAAATGAAGTATATTTCTATAGACTCTGTATTCAAACAAATGGTCTTGCAGCGAGAATTATCTGTTAGGTGCACAAATTAATCCGCATTTTTTTAAGAAATTGGGTTTTATTTGTTTTTTATTTACAAAGGACTAATAAACATATCACTGTTCGAAATATTCACCATCATTTTCTAATACTTTTATCTATCTATCGGGCAGCTGACGAATCCCTTCTCGAAAAAAAGACGGCGGTTTTAAGTCAATGAAATCGTCGATGCATTGTCTGACTCCTTCCATGTTTTTTTATTAATCTGATGGTGTTGGAGCAATCAGAGAATAGATAATAATCCGAAAGAGTTAGGTCCGATGAATAAGCCGCATGAGGCAGAACTTTGTAAATCAGCGAATAAATAGTGTCTTTTATCCTTTTGCGACAAGTTATCGTGCTT